GTGATTGACAGGTCTCGACCAGAGACGTATAAGGCGTCTCTACATCACTCCTCAGTCCAGATATGGTCACTTCCTGTTCACTGATCGCACAAAACCAAGATGGCGACAGAAAAAAAACGCAGAATTCGAGGCTTCAAAACATCCAAAAACCAACGAGTGACATCATGACGACTACGTCCACTTCTTTATACAATCTATGTCCCTAACAAATAAAGTATGAATAATTAATAATGTGCTTATTAGTGAGCTTTAGAGGTGCCGCTGGTCAGAGTTAGGCTAGCTGTGTTAGCGTATCTATGTTCCCCAATGTCCTCTAAATATGACACTTTAAAGAGACATTCATGTTCTCAGTAAAATACATCATGTTTATTCCTCTGGGTCGATATGTTGAAACCAGCAGCTGCATGTTACAGTCTGCTGATCTTATACTCCTCAATACGCCCCGACATTGACATTGACATGGTCCTTTCAGCCAAACCTGCGTCTCCGGCATCCTGTCAATGAAATCTATTGATAAAGACAGAAACTCTCTGACCGAAGCGTCTCTCTGATGATGGCCTTCAGGTACGGCATCTGATGGATGTCTTCGCTGTTTGGCACCTTGTCTCCGGGACAAACGCTCATCACTTCCTGGTATAACTGCTCTTGGATCTCTGGCTGCTTCGCCAAACTGTACAGAGACCAGGACACGGTGTTGGAGGTCTGCGACAGAGAGGAGGACACGCTGTTAGTGAGGTGATGCTCACTGAGCGATGTATGATACAGATAACAATGATATATGATGTCTAACTTATACAAAACTGCTCTTTCAACATTGCTATGACTGTATTCTTGATGTGAAGCATAACTTAAGGTGAAATAATCATGAATGAATTACTGAACAGGCCCTCCGGGGGAGAGGCCCAGGGGCCCAAAGTGTCAGGGGCCCCCCCGGCCTTTGCCTACAAGATGACCAGAAAGAGACACGAAAACACTACAAAGAGACCAAAACAGCTGCAAAGACACACGAAGCAACAACGCAGCTACAAAGAGAAACTAAATAACCACAAAAAGACACAAAACAACGTCAAAAAGGCGAAACAGCCAAAGACAACTCACCGTGTCGACTCCGGCCAGCAGCAGTTCGGTGATGCTGCCCAGGATCTCCGTGACCGTCATCTGTTGGCCGAGCAGCAGGTGAGTCAGGTACGCTCCCTCCACGCTCTGGTCCAGGTGCACCTTCTCCTGGATCTCCTCCATCTTCTGCTGCACCAGCTCTTCAGCTATGAGACACCAGAGACAGGTTCATTACGGGACAACCGGCACTCCACCCTCTGGCCCACTAGATGGCGAAATAAAAGCCACTTTCTCCTGACGAGGAGTAACAGGAGGTGAACTTTGTGACTCTGAGTCACTAGAGTCTAGAGACCTTGAAACGTTTGATAAAGCCAACGGCCTTGAAGCTGAGCTTTAGTAACCTTTTGTGACAACAATCAGAGACGGGGAGCGGCAGAGGACACGAAGACCACGAGAGCTCCTGGAACCTGGTCCACAGAACAGCAATGTAAGACTTTCAATCCTGAGAGCAAAGTGAAGACCGCCGGACGTCATCTTCATTCATACTCTAAAGGTGCAGCTGATTTTAACCACAGACTGTACCTGCTGCTTGTGGATCAGTGTGACCTCTAACCCTATAATAGAACAGAGTACACATGTGTACCTCATGTTATTTACAGTTTAACTGTGATACAAATAAAGTCACCAAAATAAATGAGTGTATTACATTTATTTTAAAATCTAAAATCAAAATGTATTGACTTGAAATAATGAAGACATTTGAATAACATAATGTCAGCTAGCTTCATTTCTGTGGATGCTAGCTGGCTAGCTTAGCAAGACAAGCTAACAGCCATCTTGGTGTTCGTGCAGAAATACTATAATATAAATAATAATAATAGTTCATGGAGGAGAACCATCGTCGGTAAACCTTTATTTACACTGTGCTGGTTAACGGTAGCCTGTGGGGGGGGGGGGGGGGGGGTCAGTACGGTCCGTTACACCGCTAGTTATCAGTTAATGAAGAAACCATCACAGTGTGAAGCATTCCTCTCATCTTTAATAACTTTGTTTGGATCACACGAGTCCCGTTCATCTTATACTATTATATGATTATACTGTATTCATTATTATTATTATCACTTGTTTTTATTTTCCGTTCTCTGAGCTTATTAATGGTTTTAATATGATCTCATCTTTGTCTTCATGCTTTTCATGTTTTATGTAAAACCTTTTGAATCGTGTCGAGATGTGTCATGTAGATCATCTTGTATCTTGAGTTCATGAGACATGTACAGTACAGTATATGTACAGTACAGTACAGTATACGTACAGTACAGTATACGTACAGTACAGTACAGTACAGGTACAGTACAGTATATGTACAGTACCGTACAGTATACGTACAGTATATGTACAGTACAGTACAGTATACGTACAGTACAGTATATGTACAGTACAGTATACGTACAGTACAGTATATGTACAGTACAGTACAGTATACGTACAGTACAGTATATGTACAGTACAGTACAGTATACGTACAGTACAGTATACGTACAGTACAGTATATGTACAGTATATGTACAGTACAGTACAGTACAGTATACGTACAGTATATGTACAGTACAGTATACGTACAGTACAGTATACGTACAGTACAGTATACGTACAGTATATGTACAGTACAGTACAGTACAGTATACGTACAGTACAGTATATGTACAGTACAGTACAGTATATGTACAGTATACGTACAGTACAGTATATGTACAGTACAGTATACATACAGTATATGTACAGTACAGTATATGTACAGTACAGTATACATACAGTATATGTACAGTACAGTACAGTATATGTACAGTACACGTACAGTATATGTACAGTACAGTACACGTACAGTATATGTACAGTACAGTATACGTACAGTATATGTACAGTACAGTATACGTACAGTATGTGATATTAAACTGAACCCTCGTTCTGTAACCGAACGTCCTCAAACGAGCCGCTCACCGACTTTGAAGAGATGATCCCAGGCCACCACGAACTGCTTCCAGAAGGGTAAGTAGGGCCACACGGACTTGGGGAAGAGGACGATGATGTGAGACAGACGGAACATTTCCCCCACGGAGAAGATGAACTTCTGGGTTTCCTCGGGCACCACCTCCTTCATGCAGCCCATCCGGGTCTCAAACAACACGGAGCAGATCCCTAAACTCACAAGGAACCGTCATTATTATTATTATTATTATTATTATGAAGAGGCTGCAGAAACCAGGAGGTCTCCATAGAGCTTCTGTTCTGAGCACAAACATGTAAACTGTGGACTTCATGACGTTAACCTGAAGAGTGATTAAATAAACACGAGGCTGCTGCTTCAGGACTTCGGCCTTTTTATTCCTCCTCTTGCTACAAACATCAATGACTTACATTATATATACATGTTTGTATAATTTATATGAAAAAAAGGTGT